CTGCTCTGGGGCCCTGGGCACGGTCCCTGGCCGAGCAGGGCCAAGCGCGGGGCTGAGGCTGGTGCCTTTGCACCCCAGAGAGCCCCGGGCAGGCTCCATGACAGAGGGAACAGACCCTGGGGCCCGCCCCACCATCCCGCTTCCTCGCCTTGTGAAACACAACCTGGGCACGGAGCTAGGTTTCTGAACTACCGCTGAGGTTTGCCATCTGATCGTTCGCTTCTCGCGACAGTGGAGCCAAAACCATTCGGAGCAGCAGTCAGCCAGCATGCTCTGAAGCCAGAGGACCTTGTCGACAGGACAAGGGGTAATGGGTACAAATTGAAAACAGGGAGGTTTAGTTTAGATATCAGGAAGAAATTCTTCACAGAGAGGGTGGTGAAGCACTGGGACAGGTTGCCCAGAGAAGCTGTGGATGCCCCATCCCTGGAAGTGTCCAAGGCCAGGCTGGATGTGGCTTGGAGCAACCTGGTCTAGTGGAAGGTGTCCCTGCCCATGGCAGGGGGGGTGGAACTAGATGATCTTTAAGGTCCCTTCCAACCCAAACCATTCTGTGATTCTATGATTCCATGACCTAGCCGTTGGTCTAGTGGAAGGTGTCCCTGCCCATGGCAGGGGGGTTGGAACTAAATGGTCTTTAAGGTCCCTTCCAACCCAAACTGTTCTATGATTCTGTGACCTGGGTCTGCCTGAGATGGCAGGGCCTTAATCATCTCATCCTGTCACGTTGTCAAGGCAACACAGTGAACTGCAGAGGCGCAGCTTGATTATGGATTTATCGTTAGCAGCTCTCGGAGCATTTGTGGTGCTAAGCTAACGTGTTGCTGGTGCAGCATGTGACCTTGTTAGCTGACTGGAGTCCACTTTGTCAGGGAACTGCGGGCAGAGGTAGAGAGACATCGGAATGTGGCGCACGAGGGAGTGTGGGAAGCTTGGAAGCGCTCTCTCCAGAGCCACATATGCTTTAAGGAAAAAAAAGCCTCCAGAAAATCTGGATAGTCTGTGTTTTAACACATAGGAATCATCTACTTGAGTCTGTGTGTTGGGAATTGCCCGGTTACACACCAGGTTATTAATGAAGGAAGAGCTTAAGCTTTATAAGTTGTGAAAGAAATGAATGCAGTTTTTGTGGGCTTTCGCAGTGTAAAGTGCTGCTCAGCTTTCGCAGTGTTCTTCACTGGCTGAGTCCATTTACCTTCTTTCGCTGGTCTATGTCACTGTCAGAAAGAAGATGAAATTAAATGTCTAAAAGATTTGAGAACGTTGAGGCAGAGAGACGAGGCTGATAGTGCCCAGCACACCTACGGCCGCTTCTGTGTAAAATCACCGACGGTAACCCGGAATTGGGTGTCGTGCAGTGGGACTGCGAGTCTGACTGGTAACTCCTTGCTTGCAGGAAGAGATGTCGGGAGAAAGTGTGGTGAGCTCAGCAGTGCCGGCGGCTGCGACTCGCACTACCTCCTTCAAAGGGACTAGTCCAAGCTCCAAGTATGTCAAGCTGAACATCGGCGGTGCCCTCTACTACACCACCATGCAGACCCTGACCAAGCAGGACACCATGCTCAAGGCCATGTTCAGCGGCCGGATGGAAGTCCTCACGGACAGCGAAGGTAAGGGGCGGCTCCCCGCGTCTCTCGCACCTATTTCAGTCAAAATAGGTCAGAAGGGGTTGGAGAAAAATAGTAGAGAACAATGAGGAACATCTAATCATAGGTCCAGGTATTTCTACATTTTATTAGTGTTAAAACTTGTAGCTGATACAGCTGAGAAAAGATGTGGGTCGGAAGGCGCGTGACTTGGATAGTTGTCTAAACAGCCAGAGGGCAGTGAGAAGTCCCGAGGCTCCTGTCAGTCCCAGGCAGCACAGGCTATCTTTTCCTTTTGAAACAGTAATGCCCAAGCTCTTAAGCATATGGGAAATGGTGGGGATAGTGATTAAGAAACTATGAGTGCGGACTTGTGTATTTACTTTGAAGCTCACTCAGGAGGCAGTTCCCTCATCTTGCTTCCTTAGCTCAAGTACAAGTATAAAATTTGCTCTGAAGATTGAGGAGTGGTTTATAAACTAAAAGCTGATTTTTTTTTTAAATGCAACTGTTTTCTTGTGAGAGTATCGGTACTTCACTTCCTTATGAGATATGTTGATTTTATCTTCTGCTGAGATTCTTTTAAAACATTTATGCTTAAATCTGTGATCCAGCTACAATGGGTTTGTGATAACTGCAGCTGGTAGCGCAGTTTCCTATCTGCCTTCTCACATTGTGGGAGCGTTAGAGTTTAATTGGAAGCACAGCTTTCTATTGTGGAGTTAGATGCTCTAAAGCATCTATGTGCTGATGCTTTGCTCATAATGGCATTTATGGACTTGGATACCTTGTCTTTAACAATAGCTACTGCATCGCTGAGCCTGAAGGTTCAAAACCCCTTTCTTGCGAGCAGTTCATTTGAAAATGTTGTCTGAACTTGCCAAAAGCGCAGAAAATGTACTATGTGGTCAGATGGGTTGGACTTAGTTTTTAGTGCTTTCGAATAGGCTGTATTTAGAAGTCATGTGGAACAAGTGATGGATTTAGTAGGGCTCTTGTGATAAGCTTTCTTGAAATAGGAGGAAGTGGATTTGGAGGCGAAAATGTGAAAAATACAACACGATTATTGGAATATTCCTGGTTTAGTAGAAGTCCTTATATTTAAGCTGGGGGGAAAATGGCTGCATTCTTCCTGGTGTTACACCGTGCCTTTTGCAAGTTACAGCTGCTGTAATTAATATTGGTGCTGTGGTCTGTGGGCTCCACATCAAGGGTCTCTGGGCCACCTCCAATGGGTCTGTGCCGGTTGCATAAAAAAGCCAGCCTGTGGGTCAAACTGAAACCAAATCAACTGTCAAATGGGAATTGGCACCCTTACTGGGAAGACTGGAGGGGTGTCATAGTGGAAACCAGTTCATTGAAGACCTCTCCCCTTGCTGCTAAACTACAGGCAACTCCAAAAGTATCTTCCCGTCCCTCCCTAAAGCTGCTCCGTGTTTCGCAAAATTTGATAATTTCTTCTCAAATTTAATCTTCTCAATTCCTTCAGTTTGGAAATGGATCAGAAAAATCCAAGTTAAGCTTGGAAGCCCACCCTGGCGTGGTCTCAGCACTTCCTCCAGGCATCCTGGCAGGTACTGCAGGAGTGCTGGTACCTCGTGTTCCCAAGGCTCAGAGTTCGTGTAAGTGCAGGTACTGCTTGGTGGAGAGCAGCTGACAATATTACTGCCAGTATGAGAGTAACCAGAGTTTAATCTGCTGAAATACCATGCTTGAGACATAAACCAGCAAGTTTGTTTTGCTGTGAATCCCACAGTGTTTGTGTGCGACTGTTCCATTTAGCCAGTTTATGCTTTAATAGGAATTTGATACTTCCTGTATGTTGTAACTGAGACACTCCCATTGCAATAGTTCTTGCTTTATCTCCCCTTGCCTGGCGTGATGCTGGAAACAGGGACAATAGCATTATAGCTGTTAAGGGAAACTCTTTTTATCTGAAATTCTTCAAAATACTGCTAATTGGTCACACCCAAAATCTGGCACAAAACAAAGTGTTTCTTAGGAAAAGAAGCCAGGCTTGCGGAGAAACTGGAAGGAGTAGAGTTTTTAAACAGTCTGTGGAATGTGTCACACGGGGTCCTCCTTTTTGTTTAGATGCGTTTTTCTGGCCCCAGCACCATCTCCCCAGTTCTTTCTCAAAGCTTAACAATTCCAACATGCTGCTGGTTGGGCCGCAGGAGAAAAGGCTGGAGTTGTGCTGTAGGAGAAAAGGCTGGATTTCTTTGGCGGTGGGTGGCAGATGATTATTTTCAGCTTAGAAATTGTTCATGAACTGTAGCAAGTTGGCATCTTGTATTTTTATGGTAATGAGCAGATAGAAAGATGTGAGTTTTCCAGGTGCATCCATCTGTTTCCCATTTTCTTTTCTGCTCTGTGCTCTTTTTTTTCCCCCTCACTCCCCACTGCTGTTAACCAGTTGATCGAGATGCACATCTTCCCTTCGGCTGCTAGTAAGACTGTTCAGCGTCAGGCAGTCTGCAGTGTCAGGCTCCTGTTTGAACTGTCAAGGCTTGGTCAGAACATGTGGCCTGGTTTAGGTTGAGTGTTTGGATGCTGTCCCTGAGACTTCTTTTCAAACAAAAGATCAATTTCCTTAAAGTCTAACGTGTGTGCGTGCAGTTCAGGGATTAGCATTCCTACCTCAGCGAATGGATCACAGGACATTTTTGTAACACTCCAGTTGAAAAACGGCTTTAAATGACTGTAGCTGAAACCCACCTCTCAGCACAGCCGTGACTGAGTGGCAGCAGGGTCGTTTTCCTGTGAGTCATCTCGTTTTGGCTGCACGCGTGGCTGTTTGGTTAAAACAGAAGGTTTTTTGAAAGCTGTTTTAGCAGTCACTTGTATTTTGCAATGCTGCTCAAAATATTTTCTCATCCCCCCCCTCCACACCAAAGTGAGCGATTCTGCTTTGGTTTCGCCATCTGTAAACATAAAGTTGCAACAGATTTTTCCAGCCTACGGAGGGAGTCAGGGCAGAGATGATAACAAAGAAGTTTGGGGATTGTAATTCTGCTGTCACAGTCTGCCCTTTACTTCTCTCCGTGCTGGTGCACATCAGTAAACTCTGCCAATGGCTGCAGTTGTGGAATACGGGTGTCCCTGTATATTGCTGTGTCTCGTGCTCCCTCGTCTCTTTAAAATGGGAGAGATCTTGCTTTACGTACCTCTGCGCTGACAATTGGGCTTTTTTGTGCTCTGGTTGGATAGGTGTACTCTATTCATTAGCCTGGATCAGGCTTTTGTTCTTTGATTTCTCTGCCTCTGGTTCTCCAGCCTCCAGCTTCCTAGTTGGTTATTAGAGTCTGTAAAATTCCAATTGCGAGTTGTGTTTTATGTAGGCAGCGGGGTAACGAGGGGGATGGAAAGCCTGTAGTAAACTGCTGGAGAGCATCTTGGTTTTCCACAGGACGGCATGAAAGGGCTGTGTTCACTTTCCAAATTGAACCAAATGTTCAGACTTTACTAGTCATTCCATTCATGCAGAACATACAGGATCTGCTTTAACCTACTTTCCTTATTTGTCCAAAATATGACTCCTTCCCCACAAGCGTTTCCTCGCTGCATTCCTGAGCTGCAGCCCGTAAGAGTGGCCATCTGTTCATTTATGGGAACGAGCCTCGCCGTTGCCTAACAGCTCTCAGGGTCCGGCCTGATTCGGGCAGCAGCCCGGCAAGGAGAGGTGAAGCACAGATCCTTTCATCGCCAGCTACCTGGAAAGCATTTCGGTTGTAGCTCTGTTCTCTTCGCGCCGCTGTCAGTCGTAGCAGCGCCGGTGAGCTCCGGGGCTGTGCTCTGCGTTCTGCTTACGCATGCTGTGGCGTCATGTCTTGCAGCAGTTTAAGGCGTTGTGCTAATGACTGCTTTGTTCTACCAAATTAATGTGCTTTGGGAATCTAGAGACTGAAGCAGTGTTTGCCATGACACTGCCGGTCTGTCTGGTTGGCTCTAGTAAGCTGTCTGTACGAACAGCCACACGTATAGGTACCAGGGCCCTAAGACAGCAGGCAAGACAATAATGTGTCAGGGTTTCAGGCGTAGAGGAAGAACAGAGCTGGTTAGTTTGCAGATGAGAAGTGTACATTCCTCTCTTCCAGTTACTCATTTGTCAGTAACTGGGGAACTGTGAGTAATGAGTGAGCTTCTGACCTTACTCCCACATACCCTGCACTAAAAACACAGGAGGAGACGATAAATCCCTGTGCATTCTGCCTCTCTGCTCCCCGGCTCAAGTCTCTCTTGGTAGAAACCTACTTGGTACAGCACTCCCAGGCCAGTGTCAAGGCCTTTTGCCACGTTTACCTCTGCTGTACTGTGATCTTCTTCCATCCCTAGGCTGGATCCTGATTGACCGCTGTGGAAAACATTTTGGGACAATACTGAACTACCTGCGCGACGGGGCTGTGCCGCTCCCTGAGAGCCGCAGGGAGATAGAAGAGTTGTTGGCTGAAGCAAAGTACTACCTGGTGCAGGGGCTGGTGGATGAGTGCCAAGCAGCCTTGCAGGTAGGTCAAAGAGCTAAGGAGGAGTCTGGTAGCTCGAGCTGCAGCGAGGGGTTAAGAAGAGGAGGCTGCTCGGGGTAGGAAGCATCTGGGCAGAGTGAGATTTGTCTGCTGCTCTTTGCTCGGTGCCTTTTTGAGGCTGGGATGGAATTGAAATACTTCATGTCATTGAGCTGCTGGAGTCTGGCCACATCCAGAAAAACTTCAGAGTTGTTCTCAAGGTTTAGTGTTACAGTGAGGGATCAGCAGTTGCTCAGTTTCCCTCCACTGACTCCTGGGAGTGTGCAAGGAGCAGCAGCCTGGCTTTTCTGCAGCTATGCCTGCTGCTGTTGGGGTCTTATGTGGTGAAATGTCTTACATGGTGAATACAGGACAATTGAAAGCAGGGAGATTGAGATTGGACATCAGGAAGAAATTCTTCCCAGGGAGGATGTGGAACACTGGGACAGGTTGCCCTGAGAAGCTGTGGATGCCCATGCCTGGAAGTGTCCAAGGCCAGGCTGGATGAGGCTTGGAGCAACCTGGTCTAGTGGAAGGTGTCCCTGCCCATGGCAGGGGGGTTGGAACTAGATAGTCTTTAAGGTCCCTTCCAACCCAAACTGTTCTGGGATTCTGTGAAATGATCTGTCATCAGCATGAGCTCTGAGACAAAGGCTAATACTTCAGCACCGACCCAGAATGGTGTGCTGGTTTTAGTGGGGGTAGAGTTAATTTTCTTCACAGTAGAAGTGGTTCTTGATTGCTGGCTGGGATTAGACCACAACAAATGGGTTGGTCCTTTGGCCAGACCAGAGCAGCTTCTTGTAGCCACAGCACCCACAGGCTGCTGGGATCCTGCTTTGTTGTCACCTTTGGTTTGAAGCCACCGTGACTGGTGTCCTGTTTGAGTGAAGCCACATTCCAGATGTTGCCATTCAAACAGAGACGTAACATTCAGTCCCTGTGTTTGCAGAGTAGTAGAGGGCAGAAATACACATCTCAGGTGGCCCCAGAGTAATGCTGCCCGGTAGCCAGGGTGCCAGCCCGGTTCCGAGCATGGACCTGAAACGGCAGTTCAGTGCAGTGTAGGGACAGGCTGCGCACAAAGCTCCTCAGCAGGACCTTCCCCGTTGATGTGAGCGTGCCCTAAGGCCTATTTACATTTCGCTGCTGTCTGACTCTTGTTTCAGCAGAACAAAGATGCGTACGAACCATTCTGCAAGGTACCAGTCATCACGTCTTCCAAAGAAGAGCAAAAACTTATAGCTACTTCGAACAAGGTAAGAGAGGCCAGGCTGCGCCGTGGCTCGGGTGGGTGCTGGCCCTGGGTTTGTGTAGGACCGTGACCAAGTGTTCTTTAGAAAATGGTCCTAACTTAACATTTCTCCTGAATTTAAAGTCAAATGTTGCTCAGGCTGGGCCTGGCCTTGTATTTCTCCACGTACGGTATTAAAATAGAGGGCGTAGGCAGTAGCAGGCTGATCAAGCAGATTCTTGGGGCTTTTAGATCTTCCATTTATTTGTCCCCTCTGCTTACTAAGGACAGATGCTTTCTTTAGCTGAAGTGAATCAGTGTGTCCTGTTTCTGGCAGCCTGCTCTCTGCGGCAGGTCGAGGGGAGGATGCTGGTGATAACGATTAGCCTTGGCGAAAAGGCAGGTGAGAACAGGTTGTGATCCAGTCACAGAAGGGGTCGGGGGCGCTGCAGCCCCGTTGCCAACCCGTGCGTGGCAGTTTAGCAGCGACAACAGTAACAACAACAACAAAATCCCACGGGGTTTGGGCCTCATGGTGTCATATTGTTTTGCAGCTTCTCTGCTGTGGGGTCTTGGAGTGAGCTGAGATTCCAGCCCTTCCTGCTCTTCCCTGACTGATCTGTGGTTTGTTTTTTTACAGCCAGCAGTGAAGTTGCTATATAACAGAAGTAACAACAAATATTCCTACACCAGGTAAATGACTTCAGCTAGGCTTTCTTTTTTTTTTTTTTTACAAGGGCCTGTAGAGACAGGACAAGGGGTAACGGGTTTAAACTGAAAGTGGGGAGGTTTAGATTAGATATCAGGAAGAAATTCTTCCCGGAGAGGGTGGGGAGCACTGGGACAGGTTGCCCAGAGAAGCTGTGGATGCCCCATCCCTGGGAGTGTCCAAGGCCAGGCTGGATGAGGCTTGGAGCAACCTGGTCTAGTGGAAGGTGTCCCTGCCCATGGCAGGGGCGTTGGAACTGGATGATCTTTAAGGTCCCTTCCAACCCAAACCAATCTGTGATTCTATGATTCTTTGAAGTTTTTCATAGACTAAAATCCATGATAAACATTTGCTTTTTCTTTAATCAGAACCAATGACAGATTGGCCCTGGCATGCACTCATTTTTTTCCCAATTTATTTCAAACTTGAGTCAGAAAAGAGCTACTGTCATCAATGGAGGGCTAAGTGTGTGCCAGAGGGGTTCCTCTGTACTTTGGTGGAGCTGGCAGAGGCTCCACCACACAGCTCCTGGCCAGTGGCTGGCCTGCATTCCCAAAGGCTACAGCACGTTAGTTGAATGCAGGAAGCCCTCCGTGGTGCACTATTCTCAAAAAGAGGTAAAATCAAACCTGGGACCTTGTCCCCTTTTCCTTATGTCTGTATATGTTTCATGACATAACGCTGCTTCCATCCAGTTGGTGCTGGGCTTGGGAATGGTTCCATGTGGGTGATAGGATTTTGTACATGCAGGGAACGGCCTTGGACAGTGTTATCCACAGGACTGTTGTTGTTGTACTACTGCTTCTTCAGCAGCAGCTTTTCCCGCTTGTACCAGTCAAATGAGTCCTGGATACCTCCTACAACACTACGTGGGTAGAGATGCTAAGTCAAAGGAAGCTGGGTGTCTGGGCCTGTGAATGCTCACTGCCTGACCCCCCCTTCTGTTCTGTGTGCTGCCTTAACGAGCCTAACGTGACTGCTGCCTGCCTTCGTCTCTCACAGCAACTCCGATGACAACATGCTGAAGAACATTGAGCTGTTCGATAAGCTGTCCTTGAGGTTTAATGGGAGAGTGCTCTTTATAAAGGATGTGATTGGAGATGAGATCTGCTGCTGGTCTTTTTACGGGCAGGGGCGGAAGATTGCCGAAGTCTGTTGCACTTCCATTGTTTACGCTACTGAGAAAAAGCAGACAAAGGTACGAGCGAGCCCCTGAATGCTTCAGCTGCTGTCAGACTGGCACCCTGACGTCTGTTTTGAACACTTCTTCCATTGTTTAGCATCTCTAGAGAGTAATCGGTGCCGTTCAGAGTGGGAGCAGCACGGTGGAGCTCATCCTGTGGGTTCTTTCAGGCCGGGACTGCTTGGCTGTGGCCCTTAACACACAGCAATCGTCGTATTCCATAATGCAGGCTCCGTCCCGTTCCTTATCTTTAGGCAAACCTTAACAGGTTTGGTTTACGTCCCTGCATAAAGACACATCCTGGTGAGCAATGACATGCCTTTCCCAGGAGAAATCTGTCTGGGTCTGCCCTGCAGACAGGCCACTCCTGGGGAAAAAACCAACCCCCACGCTGGTTGCTGGGTCTCAGTAGCTGAAAGCAGATAACGGAACAGAAACGATTGTGCTAGAAAGGATTTGTATGGCTCGAGTCCCACTAAGAAATGTTAAAACCAGAAGGGTGTCGGGAATTAGCAGTGAGGTAGTGTGGTGCCTGGCAGTAGTTGCGAGTGACCTTGTTTCTCTTGGGTGGGCAGGTGGAGTTCCCAGAAGCTCGCATTTACGAGGAGACACTGAACATTCTGCTGTACGAGTCCCAGGACGGGAGGGGACCCGACAACGCGCTCCTGGAAGCCACCCGGCCGCTCCCATCACTTAGAGGAAGACGAGGAGCGAGACCGCATTGAACGCGTGCGCAGAATCCATATTAAGCGTCCGGACGACAGGGCCCATCTCCACCAGTGAGCCGAGCGGCAGCGG